GCTTGAACTACATAATGAGACCCTGTCTCAAAAAAAACAACAAAAAAATTTATTGAAAATTCATTATTTAATAAAATAGAGATTAAGAAACAATAAATCCTGTACTCATAGAGCATTACCTTTGACTCTTCTTTCTCTTCCTTCCATTTTTATAGCAGTGAGTTCTGAGAAATGTTGATCAAATAACTTAGGTGAGACTGTAAGTTTTTGCTGTGCTTGTTATTTTTGAGCAGGGTCTTAAGATGTATTTCAGGCTGGCCTCAAACTCCCTTTGTAGCCTAAGCTGGCCTCAGAACTGGCAGTGATCCTCCTACATCAGCCTCCCGGTGAGACTGGAAAGTTTTCCTACAGCAGTGTCACTCAATTATCTGATCCTCCAAGCTATATTCCAGAACTCCAGTAATCTGTCCAAAATCACTTTTCATCTGCTGAACATTCCAAGTACCCCTCCTTCCACTTTGTTGAAGACAAAGAACTGGAATCCTTACTTACAAGGATGTTACCAACGACTCAGAATCATTCTCTCGTGTCAATGCCAGCATTTCTAACTATCCCTGTATTTGTCACTTTAAAGATAACAATTTCCATGACAAAAGCCATAGTGAGACTTTGGGTACAAGATTTTTGTCTTTTGTAAAGGAGGGTGCAAGTGTGGGCAAATTTCTGGGTTATATCAATTTCAGAAAAGAATATATATGAAAGTTCACGTTCTAGAAACAGAGTCTTTTTTCTTTTTGGTACCAGGAATCGAACTCAGGACCTTACGCTTGCTAGGCAGGTGCTTGTGCCACTGAGCTATATATCCCCAGCCAGGAGTCTTGAAAACTTCCTCGAAGTTCCTTGCATACCACTCTTCCATGGCTCCTGCTTTAGGTTACCTTGCTGACTTAGCGCATCAGTACTTTTGACCTTTGGCATAGGAAGTGTAATAGGCCAAACTATTTTTTTTTGGCGGGGGGGGGGGTTCCCCTGGTACCAGGAATCGAACTCATGACCTTGCACTTGCCAGGCAGGCGCTGTGTTGCTGAGCTAAATCCCCAGTCTAGGCCAAACCATTAAAGAAGCAACATGGGTCCCCTTAAGATGGAAAAGAAAGGCACTGCATTTCAGACACAGGTGAGTTTATTGACGATGAAACTGCAGAGTTGGAGAAACTAGACAGAATGCATATACAGAACTCAGGCGGTTCACAGTAAAAATAGAACAAAACCAAAGCTTATGGCCTTAAAATCTAAACAAAAGGAATAATTCTTTTATGGTTGAAAGCTGTGAGTGTCTTGAGTATAAATTTTACTGCTATAATAAACCACACATCAAATGAGTAACTGTGACGGTAGCGTTGGCAGGTGGAGTTTGCAGATGGCAAATGACATCTGCACAACAATGTGACAGGTGAAAGAAGGACATTAATTCTGTGCTCCCACAGGAAGGGAGGGCAGCACAGTGGTCCCCAGATGGAGTGGTTCTCAGTGCCCACTGGGGACACTGGGCAATGTCTGGAGACTTTTTTGCTGTTCTGACTCGGCGAGGAGGGTGATTCTAGTGGTATCTAGTGGGTAGATACAAGGCACAGGATGATCCCCACAGGAAATTATCCATTCCCAAAGCCAACAGTGCCAGGGCACCTGCATTTGAGTCCATAACAATGCCATCTATGTGCTGTGTGACCCTGGCCTAGCTACCTAACCTTTCTGAGCCTCAGCTTGTTCATCTGTATAGCAAGCCAATCACAACTGCTTACACTGCGAGTATTAGTGCCCGGCGCCACTCTACACGGTATTTCATTCCCTCCTTCTAAAATCCCTGCAAGGTCCAGTTACTTCATTTACAGGTGAGTATGAACTAAAACAGTGAAGATAAAACTCACAGCACAGTAAAGATAAGCACTCAGCTGTCACTTAGGACTTTTTTTTTTTTTAATAAAAAGATACACTGAGCTAAGTGTATTTTCTTTTCGCTTTTTTCAGATAGAATCTCACTATGTAGCCCAGGCTGGCCTCAAGCTCCAGGCAACCTTCCTGCATCAGCCTCCTCAGTGGTGGAATTACAGGTGTGGGCTACTACACCCGGCTGTATATTATCACAGACACCAACAGTTTTGGCAGTTATAAGTAAGAGTCTTGGCAGCTGGGTGTGGTGGTGCATACCTGTGATCCCAGCACTCTGGGAGGCTGAGGCAGGAGGATTTAAAGTTTGCCTCCAGCCCAGGCAATTTAGCAATATCCTGCACCACTAAAAGAAAAAAAAGTGATTTATGGTGGTATACAAGCCTTCATAATGTGGTTCTCTCCTGGCTCTGGCTCTACTGCAGTCACATTCTGCTTTGGGACCTTTTCACTTACCCTTTCCTCTACATAGGCAAGGCTAGTTCCCTCGGTTTAGATCTCAGCTAAAATGTCACTTGATCTGGGAGACCTTTTCAGATCATCTAATACAATACCACATATTCCACTTCTTCACACTACATATACACTTTCTTCTTTCTTTTTTAAAAATTTTGGTTAGCAACTGCCTGCCATAATCATTTAATACCTATATCCGACCAGGCGTGGTGGCAAAGGCTTATAATCCCAGCACTAAGGAGGCTGAGGCAGGAGGATTTTGAATTTGAGGCCAGCCTGGGCTACATAGTAAGTGCAAAGCCAGCCTAAACTATATAGTGAGACCCTGTCTCCCTAGCCCTCCCAAGAAAAACCTCATCTAGAGGAAAAATGCTGTGAGCACACAGAACTCAAACGTTCACCATGTGGCCCCAGCACCTACCATGGCGCTAGACCTCTAGCCACTCACCTTGGGTTCAGTGAATCCATAACTGTCTCTGTGTCTCTCGGCCACGTGACACTGAAGCACAAAAACTGAAGATAAGTAAAATGGAGATAAAATCATAATTTAAAAAGTGTACTTAGAAAAAAAAAAAAAGACTGCAACTTCCTGGACAGTCAAAGTTACCCAAGGCTACCCACAGACGTTCCCTTCGTTAATTTACGTTCCTTTCTTCCCACACCCATCATCCTCCAAGTTGTCAAGAATACTGTATGTCCATAAATTGGCTAAGTTAAAAGAGCGTGGGGGGGGGGGGACGACGACAACGACCTGATCCTCAGATAAAGGAACAGGGTGTGGGGATTCAAAGAATGCTTAAATTCATCTGCAAACAAACAGACTGGGCCCATACCTGTGAAATGGGCCAGGACCCTCCTGGGGAGTGGGCCACCATCCCCTGGGGTTTCCACCCCATCAAAAGAAGCATAAACGTTCCCAGCTCCAGGAAACAACGCGCCTGTCTCCCAACAGCCTGCGCTGAGCATGTACTGTTACAGTTCAGCCCAATATATTCTTTCTTGGGGCGGGGGGCGGGGGGGTACCGGGAATCAAACTCATGACCTCAGGTTTGCCAGATAAGCGCTTATGCCACTGAGCTATATCCCCGGCAATATTTGTTTATTTGTTTGGTGTTTTTGAGACAGGGTCTTGCTATACAGTTCAGGCTGGTCTTGAGCTCACTTTGTAGCCCAGGGTGGTCTCGAACTCACGATGATCCTCCTGCCTCAGCCTCCTGAGTGCTGGGATTATAGGCGTGCGCCACCACGCCCGACCTTTTGTTTGTTTGTTTGTTTTCCGGTACCGGGAATCGAACTCACGCCCTTGCACTTGCCAGGCAGGGGCCGTGCCGCTGAGCTAAATCCCCAGCCCCTATTTTTATTTTTTTCTAACACATTCTTTTATGCCTTAAAGTTCTTTTACCACGATGGGTGTCAGAAAACCCGCGAAACGTAATCTGCGGGTCTAGGTCTCCTTCTCTAGTGGCAACCTCCCGCGGCCCTGTCCAGCGACAGCATCCGACGGCCTACCGCGAAACTCTCGGCCTTGGGTCACTTTTGCGATAACTCGGCACGCGGAGACAGAGCTGGACACGAGGCCCGGCCCTGGGGGCGCCACGCCCCCGACTCATCTGTGCGAGAACCGCGACCCCGAGGCGGCGAGGCTGGCCGCCGGCTCAGGACTCAGGGCAGTGTGCGAGGTGGACGGGGAACGCCCGGAGCCACTGGGAAAGGGAGCAGTGGAGAACGCGGCCCGGCGGGGTTAGGACCCGCGCTGAAGCCTTGGCCCAGGCGCCTGGAGACGCCGCTGCCAAGGGCGCCCGGAACACGAGGGGCGCCGCTTCATGGCGGCGAAGGGACAGAGGGGCCCTGGGAGGGGCTCCAGGCAGCTTTCCTTCTGAGTTGGCACAACTGTGCCCCACCGGGGACCGACAGTGCACGTCAGTGTGAACAGTGGACATCAGAGAGTGCTTTAACCTAGCTGCGATGTCGCCAACTGCACAAGTCGCTAAAAAAAAAAGAAAAAAAAAAAAAGACACGGGCAGCCATCATGGCTGCCGGCGACGGCGCAGCTAGAAGCAACCGAAAGGAAATGGCGCCGGGTGCGCGGTCAGTCTCTGCAGCCCAGGATGGCTCGGCGAGAGGGCCGCCGAGATAACCTAGGAGGGCCAGCCGAGGACCTGAATACCCTCCTGGCTTGTGGCACTGCAAACTCTGAAGCTGTGACATGGGAGACCGTTATTGTCTCTGCAAAGTCACTCGCAACCGCAGGCCTCAAGTTCCGTCCCGCAGCAGAATTCGGCAAAATCCTCTATTCTCCAAACACAATGCGCCACGCACACTGCGCATCTCCGCAATAGTGGGCCGGCTAACGACGCAAAGAATGTTACGTCGCCACGGGGGCTCTTCCCCCGCCCCACCCCACGTTCTCGTTCAGGCGGCGCGAGAACTTTACGTCCACTCCGTAGTTTGTTTTTCTCCTACGAGCCGCAAAATGTACCGGTCTTCGCAACTGACGTAAAATCCTTCCAAGAATATCCGTAACGCCCCGCAGAGCCCTCGGGCGATTCCGAGACCCTGTTTACGTATCGTCTCCGCCGTACGTAGCGTCTAGTTGGAGCAGTCTCAGCGGCGGCCGCCATTTTGTGCAGTCGCTGAGAAGGAAGGAGACGCCTAAACCGCGGCACTGCCGGGTTTGAGCGTAGCCAAACCTCCTCACCGTTTTTATTACCCGATTCTCTGTGTTTTGCTCCCGTCTCCGACGAGAGAGGCGGCGACGGTGGCGTCTGCGACGGGAGACAGCGCGTCGGAGCGAGAAAGCGCCGCGCCTGCCGCCGCCCCAACAGCGGAGGCGCCGCCGCCATCGGTCGTCACCAGACCGGAGCCGCAGGCCCTCCCGAGCCCGGCCATCCGTGCCCCGCTCCCAGATCTCTACCCATTTGGGACCATGCGCGGAGGAGGCTTTGGGGACCGGGACCGGGACCGGGACCGTGGCGGGTAAGGGGGGAGGCGGCGGGCCGCGAGGCCGCGCGTCGCGGGGGGCGGGGGGAGGGGGCCGTTGCCCGAGGCCGAGCGGGCTCCGCGGCACAATGGCGGCGCCGGGCGGCTGGGGTCCGGCGGGAAGGGCCCCGCTCCGGGCCTGGCCGCGCGGGCGGGTCACTTGATCTCCCCGTGCCGCAGTGACCGTCTGGAAAAAACGCTCCAGACGCTCTTGTGCTGCCTCGGGAAACCCAGCTCGAAATGGCTTCCTTTACATGATGTCCCCAGCGATCACTGTCGGCCATCAGTCTAAAGCGCGGCTTCTCATTTTGTTTTTGTTTCCGGTGCTGTGGATTGAATTCTAGGCCTTGAGCTCTTGCTAGACAGTTTTTCTGATACTACTATACTTCTGATTTTAAAACATAGGTTCTTAATCTCCTTCACTCGTGCTTTGTGTAATTCAAAGGAAGCGCATAGAACTGTAAAGTAGTGAAGTCAGTTATCCATAGTACTAGGGGGAAGGGGAGTTTGGAGAGATGGGCAGTATTGTAATTTTAACTTGTTTTTTTTTTTTAACTCTTTTGTGTTCCAGCGTTAACTTCTCGGCCTAGCCCGGAAAGTTTTGATGTTGTAATGGCCACTGTTGCACCATCAGGGATAAAAAATGTAACAGGACTAGACCTGAATAAAGATACTGAGTTTTTAGGATTTTTTTCACGTCAGCTAAATGACTTTTTGCTTAACAGAGACATTTACGTGTGCTACCAGTTTGTTTTCTTTCGTTTTTGAGATGGGGTCGCATTGTGTAATCCAGGCTGGCCTTGAGTTCACAGCGATCCTCCTGCCTCAGCCTTCCAAGTGGAGTATTGAGCTTACAGGCTACTGCTTCTTAATGGGTGTGACTGTGGGCACATCCTTAATTTTTGTGAGCCCATTTTTTTTTTTCAGCTGAATGGAAGAAGAGGGCTGTGTTCTTGGGAATTAAGAGATAATGTATGCGATTGTCCCGCTGTAATTGGGTGTTCATGATACTGTTCCCAAACATGCATGTTTTAAATAGACAAATATTAGACTTACTAGTCACAAGCACTTCGATTGTCACTAAGTTACAAAATAAGAACCATTTTCACTTCGCACTTAGGGGAATCTGCGATCTTTTGTTAGATTCAGAGAGGAGAGCTAAAAGTGGAATGTTCATTTAGGGTTTCACAGTTGAGCAAAGTTTAGAAGGGAATTTCAACGCTGCTGCCTAGCAAATACCTAGTAAATTTGAAAGTGATGCAGTAATTATATATTACACCCTAGTCTGTCCTAAAGACCCATAGAAAAATCTGTGCACATGTGATGCAGGAGCCATGTCTAAAACCATTTATCCCAACATTGTTGGTGAGAATAGCATGTTTGAGACTCAGTATCCTAATAAATTGTGGGTATTTGTATATTTGAATACAATACAGCAATGAAAAAGAAGAAAAAAAACTTGGGTCATCTCAGATGATTCCTTTTTTTTTTTTTTGAGACAGGGTCTGGCTATGCAGTTCGGGCTGGCCTTGAGCTCACTTTGTAGCCCAGGCTGACCGCAAACTCACAATGATCCTCCTGCCTCAGCCTCCCGAGTGCTGGAATTACAGGCATGCACCACCATGCCCGGCTCTCAGATGATTCTCAGACATACTTAGTTTTTAAAGTAGTTTGAGCGCGGGGCGTGGTGGCCCATGCGTGTAATCCCAGCACTCCGGAGGAGGCTGAGGCAGGAGGATCGTTGTGAGTTCGAGGCCCGCCTGAACTGCATAGCTAGATCCTGTCTCAAAAAGACCAAATAAATAAAATAGTTTGACATATTTTAAGGATACAGGAAAATAAGACGACTATAAAAACCAGAGGAATGGTTACTACAATTCAAGGTAATCATGGGGGTTGTAAACTTAGAGGAGGCACGAGGAGGCTTCCCGAAGTATTGATAATGGTATTCTACTTCTTTACTGTGCATGATGTTTTATCATAAATATAGTTTAGCAATTAGTATTTGAAAAGAGAAATGGTAAATTTCAACCCATATCCCATATTGACTCATTGAGTATCAGATGACAGGTAAAAATGGAAAGCTTTTTTTTAAAGTCCAGGACAAAATTGCACTCTGATAAGGTTTGTGCCCTAACTACTTTCACTTGAGTTTTCTTTTGTGCTTTCAACTGCTGCTGAATTAGTTGGAAACAACGGGTGTGGTCAACATATACATGTTTTAAAAGCTGAATTTATCCTGTAACAAACTTTGCTACTCACTTGGTCACATTAACAAACAGCGAAGTGTACCAGGAAGTGGGCTGTGTGTGTATTAATGGTGGTATGGGTAACTACAGGGGTAAAAGCTTCCCTGAAAGTCTGACATCAGTATTATAAAGTGGGAAAGCAACGTATTTTCCAAGAACCTTGTATTTGAACCTGAATCTCTAGGACACTGTAAGCGTGCATACTATTTCTTGATAAAGATCTATTTAGAGTACTTTTTATTGATTTACAAGTGGGAACGCCCCTTGGTCTGTGTACTGTTTACTGGAAGCCTGAGAACATGTTCTAGATACTGATGGGTGTATTTTGGTGCTGCATGGGTCTCCTTTTTGATTTCTCTCACTGGTTAACCAGTAGCAGTATAGGTAATGTCGGTTTACTCTGTTTATTGAGTGTAGATACCCAAAATGCCAACAAAATTTTCTGCCATAAATCTGTGTAGAGATATAACTAACTGGTCTTTAAGCCCCAGAGTTCTAATGGTTTGAGTTACAGGAAATTGAAGCCCTTTAAGATAGTTACTGCTGCTGGGCGCTGTGGCACATGCCTGTAGTCATCAGCACTTGTGGCTAAGGCAGGAGGATCACAGGTTGGATCCTAACCTTGGCAACTTAGCAAGACCCAGTCTCAAAAATTAAAGGGCTGGAAATGGAGCTCTGTGCAAAGGCCCTGGGTTTAGTCCCCAGCGCTGGAAAAGTAAACACTTTCTACAAGATGTTAAGAGTGGGAAAAGCAAATTAAATTCAGTATTATGTTTTGCAAGGAGTGAAGGAAATGAGATGAAAAAAATAGCCTTACTGTTTGGATATTAAAGCCCTGCCCTTTACATAGAGTAATGTAGGGGAATGAAGGCCATCTTAGTATTACGATTCTCCCAGCAAAATAACTTGTAATTTGTTACATTTCAGGTTTGTCTAGAGGCCATGCTTATATTTCCATTTAGTTTGCTTGTAAAAAAAAAATCTGGGCTTGAGTTTTTATTAAAAACCTTAAATATGTTTTATTGATTGTTTCTCCCATAAATTGTTTGTTCAGACTCCTTTGTTAGCATAAACTAGCAATCCTTTATAGGTCCCAGTAGTTTTCTCTTTGCTCATAAGTAGAGCAGAAATGTTCTTTATGGTCTAAACGGGGAAGGGATCTGAAAAGCTGTTCAAAATTCAGGGAATTTAACTTGAATATTCCTCCCATCCACAGCAGTGTTGTTTAAACTTTAATTGCCTCCTCTTACACAAGCTATTTATCTGTTCTGTTCTCTCGTATCACCAGCACCATGTAAAACAATATAGTTGTTGAATCAATAAATCGCAGTTCATTGTTGCATCTGATACTGTTTCAAGCACATACCCATAAAATAGGGGTGGGGAGCTGGTAGTATCCTAGGAGTCAGTCTTTATGCACCTTTTCCGAGAACATAAGGTAACATTGTTTTAAAAATTCTTGCTGTTCCTAGATTTGGAGCAAGAGGTGGCGGTGGACTCCCTCCGAAGAAATTTGGTAATCCTGGGGAGCGTTTACGTAAAAAGAAATGGGATTTGAGTGAGCTCCCCAAGTTTGAGAAAAATTTTTATGTGGAACATCCAGAAGTGGCAAGGCTGACTCCAGTAAGTGTTTTGTATTATTTTTTTTTATACAGATAAATGAAACAAGTAGAAGTATAGGGTAGAATTTACTTGTTGCTGTCTTATATACTTTGTTATCGTATAAGGTTCTTAGATTTTCTTTTATTTTGAGACAGGGTCTCCCTATGGAGTTCATACTGGCCTTGAGCTTACATTGTAGCCAAGGCTGATCTTGAACTCACAAGGATCCTCCTGCCTCAGCCTCCCAGGTGCTGGGATTACAGGAGTATGCCACCACGCCCGGCTGGTTCTTAGATTTTTAAGACTACTTGGTACTCATAAGAGAGACCAGTTTAAATATACATATAATGTGTTGATTGGGTTTTTTTATGTGTACCAGGAATTGAACTAAGGACCTTGTGCTTGCCAGGCAGGCGCTATGCTGCTGGGCTGTGTCCCTGGCCCCCTTGTTGATTTATAATATATTTCTCATACATGGTTTTAACTGTATATTGACATGTCTTCATTTATGAGGTAGATTTTAATAGTAGATTGTTTTTTTAATTTCATGATTGTTTGGGACTCCACTTACGAAGTGGTTGTTTATATGGAAAAGTAATTTACAAGCACACCTGGCCCCACGTTCCATATACTCTCATTTCCTAGTTCTAACCTTAAGTATGTGCTTCCTTCTGACCTTGTGTATGTGCTTTCTTGCATGGAACAGAACCCCTAGCCACTTTGCGTTGTCAACTCACAGTTAGGAAAATCCTCACAAAGTTGAAAGCATAGTATATATTTACCATTGTTACTGTGGGTTGGGTAATAATTAGTTGCTTGGCTAATAAAAGTTTTGGGTATGGACAATAACTTTTACTAATTCGTCTTCATTCTTTCTGCTAGTATGAAGTTGATGAGCTACGCCGAAAGAAAGAGATCACAGTGCGAGGGGGAGATGTTTGTCCTAAGCCTGTCTTTGCCTTTCATCATGCTAACTTCCCACGTAAGTGTTCTTCAACCCAGAGTTTGCTGGGCATGGTGCTCCATGCCTGTAAATCCCAGCACCATGGAGGCTCAAGCAGGAGAATTGCTATGAGTTCAAGGCCAGCCTGAACTCCATAGTGAGGCCCTGTCTCCAAAAAAAAACACCCAACCTAGAACCTTGATTGTTAGATTTTGTTGGGTAATAAACAGGAGTAATAGGTTATTTAAAGGTTTTAGAGCTGGGTGTGATGGTGCATACCTGTAATCCCAGCACTTGGGAGGCTGAGGCAGGAAGATCTTCTGTCAACTTAAGGCCAGTCTGCACTACATATAAAGACTTTACAGTGTTGAAAAGACAAGTAGAAATCTTTCATAAAGGTAGTAATTTAGGTAATAGTTTTTTGTCATACTTGTTGCTGAGACAAAATGCCCGACACCCAGAGTTAAAGAAGGAAGTATTTATTTGGCTTACAGTACAGGTTTCAGTCCATAGTTGGCTAGCTCCAAGGGAGGATGGTACATGGCAGAGGGGCATTGCAGAGGAGAAGCAGTTTGTTGTAGACAGAAGCCAAAAGAAGCAAGCAGAGACCAAAGCTCTTTCTGTCTCTTATCTTACCAGGCTACCTAGGGCAGGCAGCACTCCCTTAACCCTAGTGCTCTTGATCCTAGTGTTGCGCAGTGAATTAATTCCAACATCACACACTGCAGATCCAGCCACCCCTGAAAAAGCCCCACCTGTGACCACATGAGGCTTTGAGGGGACATCTAGACATACGCCATTACAGGTTTCAAAAAATTAACTTCCTAACGGTAGTGGTAAATATGTTAGTGCATAAGAATTTTTTATGCTTATCTACTGTCTAGATGAAGGACTCTCTTTTTTTTTTTGACGCGAGGAATCGAACTCAGGACCTTGTGCTTGCCAGGCAGGCGCTTATGCCACTGAGCTATGTCCCCAGCCCTCATCTTTTTTTTTTTTTTTTGCATTTGTTAACACTTCTGTGTTTGCCACTCCCTCGTCCACAACAGCAGAATAAAATGTCTTTCTAGCTGAACGTAAGAAACATTCGGCAAACAGTGTGACTGCTATGTCCCTGTGCCCTTGGATGCTGCAGGACAGTGATCTGAAAGGGAGTGACGGGCTGGGTATAGAGCCTCTTTTTTTCTTTTTTAAGGCAATAATATGTTTATTCTCTCATAGAATATGTAATGGATGTGTTGATGGATCAACACTTTACAGAACCAACTCCAATTCAGTGCCAGGGATTTCCACTGGCTCTTAGTGGCCGGGATATGGTGGGCATCGCTCAAACAGGCTCTGGGAAGACATTGGCGGTGAGTACCAGCAAGTGGAGTATTTTGCTATCCTAATTGTCACAGAAGTGTAGGCAGTAACGTTAGCTATCTAAAGCGGACATATTTCACGTTCAAATGTACGTTGCACAAGAGATGGAAGTAGTAGATTGTGCTTTTTAGTTGCTGTTTCAGCATTATTACTGTTAGAAGTTGCACTGTTAAGATGATGACTTGGTTTTGGTGTAATATTTTGTTCTTATTCCTCCCCAGTATCTGCTGCCTGCAATTGTTCATATTAACCACCAGCCATACTTGGAAAGGGGAGATGGCCCAATCGTAAGTATTTTGTTTTATTTACAGTTCTAAGAATAACTACAGATGAATGCCTGTTGTGTTCTAGGCACTGCTTTACCAATGTCCAATTTCATTCTTTTTTTTTTTTTTTTTTTTTTTTTTTTGGTTTTTCTCTGGTACCAGGAACCGAACTCACGACCTTGCGCTTGCCAGGCAGGCGCTTTTGCCGCTGAGCTAAATCCCCAGCCCCTCCAATTTCATTCTTAAGTCCATCTACTCCGTATAACCCCGTTTTGGAACTAAATGACTTGCCCAGTCACATACAGCAAGCAAATGGGTTGCTTGGGTTTGAACCATTCTTATGCTTAAGTGCTAATTTAGTGCATATTGTGTTCATTTGTGGGCCGTTTTTGGAGCGGGGACAGGGCGTCACTGTGCAGTTTAACTCATTGTAGCTCAGGCTGGCCTCAGACACACAACTATCCTCAGACTCACAAGTGTTGGTGTTACGGAGGTACATGCCACCGCGCATTTTGAGGTAGGGTCTGAGTTGCCCAGAGGGCTAGGATTATAGCAGTGTACTGCCATACTCAGCTTGCGCTGCTCTTTTCTTACTTGTGCTGGTATTTAATCCATGGTTTCATTGTAGGACTTTTTTTTTTGGTCTTTTTGAGACAGTCTTGCTATGCAGTTCAGGCTGGCCTCGAACTCGCAACGATCCTCCTGCCTCAGCCCCCCAAGTGCTGGGATTACAGGCATGAGCCACCATGCCTGGCACATTTACTCATTTTGTGAGAGCTGTGCAGTTACACTAACTAGGTCAGTGATAGTGAAATTTTAGAGCTTCCAGTGATAAACAGGCCACTGTGGCACGTGTGCCATAGGTTCACCACCACTGCACTAGGTCATACAAATCCATACATATCCACTTGTATGGTATGTGTAAATGAATGACAGTATCAACATACTAAGTAGCAAATGTCATCACTTGTTACCTACACTCCAGTATAGTTTTACTTAAGCCACTGGGCATCCCAGTACCCCACCCTGTCATACACCTTGAAAAGTACTACATAGGGAAGAATTAATTACCTTTTTGCACTTTGATGTTTCTAGGGGGTTGTTTTGTTTAACTTGGGGTAGGTGTCTCAAGTGGGGTTTTTTGCCTGTTCCAGTGTCTAGTTCTGGCTCCTACGAGAGAACTTGCTCAGCAAGTACAGCAGGTGGCTGACGACTATGGCAAGTGTTCAAGATTGAAGAGTACTTGCATTTATGGAGGTGCTCCTAAAGGCCCCCAGATTCGAGACTTGGAAAGAGGTAATTTGATAAAAATACCTCAGTAAATAAGAATAGGGTTTTGTTTTGTTTAGCAATTTCTGTGTATGATATTGAAAAAGTAATGGGTTCTTATGAAAAAAAAAAAAAAAAAACCACTGTTACAGAAGCTTAGAAATTCTCAGATATGGTTATACTAGCTAGTTTGGGAGGTGGCATTGACCTTAGCTGGAGACTTTGTAAGATTGATGGTTGTAGTTGAGGTTTCCTCACATTATATTTATGCAGGTACTGCTCTGCAGTATGTGTGCAAGATCACAGAGCTGGTGTTCTTAGTTTGTGTGCTCAGATTTAGAGAGTAGATAAAGAATTCCTCATGAGTTAGATCTTTATGCTTTACAGGTGTTGAGATCTGCATAGCTACTCCTGGGCGCCTGATCGATTTCCTAGAGTCAGGAAAGACAAACCTTCGCCGCTGTACTTACCTTGTTCTGGATGAGGCCGACAGGATGCTTGATATGGGCTTTGAGCCTCAGATCCGTAAAATTGTTGACCAAATCAGAGTACGTACAGTGTATACTTCATGCCTTTATGTCTTTTGACAGTTATGTAGTTCTCTTCGCTAAAAGACTTTTCCTTTCATGATAGCCTGATAGGCAGACATTGATGTGGAGTGCAACCTGGCCAAAAGAAGTAAGACAGCTTGCAGAGGATTTCTTGCGTGATTATACTCAGATCAACGTGGGCAATCTGGAGTTGAGTGCCAACCACAACATCCTTCAGATCGTGGATGTCTGCATGGAAAGTGAAAAAGACCACAAGTATGAAAGATTCCACTTGTTCACAAATACTGATAAACTGTTTCTAATAATTCTCCAGAAAAAAAGTGTTAGAGAAGCCAGTTTTTGTTGTTTTTGTTGGTTTGTTTGTTTTTTGAGGCCTGAAAAAATTAGAAACACTGGGGCTTTCTAATAACCCATTCTTTGCATCACCAATAGGAGTGTGTTGGATTTGAATCCTGGTGTTAAGTAGTGTAGCTTTGGGAGTTAGTTTTGAAGTAGTCTACTTAATATATGGGGAGGTTTTTATATGATGACTGTATTGTTGGTCTTACTCAGGTTGATTCAACTGATGGAGGAAATAATGGCTGAAAAGGAAAATAAGACCATCATATTTGTAGAGACAAAGAGACGCTGTGATGACCTCACTCGAAGGATGCGCAGAGATGGGTGAGTATAACACCAGAATAATTAATTAGGCTCAGATTTTAATGGCGATTTCTAAATTGGTATTGCACACTCTAAAATTTCAATAATGGCTTTCTAATACCACCTAATGTGCAACACTACTCCCCCCGCCATACTGAGAATTAAACTTGGGTTTCAGGCTGAGCTGTACTCCCAGCCCCTTTTATTTTGTGCTTTTGAGACAGGCCCTTGCTAAGTTTTCCAGGCTTGACTCAAACTTGTGATTCTTGAGATTTCCCTGGCACAGCTTCCCAGAGTGCTGGGGTTATAGACATGTGCTACTGCGCCTGTCTAAGTGAACATAGTTGTCTGTTCATGTTCCTTAACTTTATCGAAACAATGTAGTAACTTTCTCTTTAAATTTAAAAAATTCCTAAAATGTTTCATTTTCTTATGATAGTTGGCCAGCTATGTGTATCCATGGAGATAAGAGTCAACCAGAAAGAGATTGGGTACTTAATGGTAAGTTCAAAACTAAGCATTTTCAGTGGGTTTTTGCCTAAAAATCTGTAGAAGAGCCAGATAGTAAATATTTTGGCTTTGCAGACTGGTTCTTAATACTTTCAGACAACTTAAAATCATCCTCCTTTTATTTTTAGTAAGTTCTTGCTTTTGTTATTCAAAGAAAAGTTTGGCAGTTAAATGTTCTAAAGAAAGATGTGCCGGGCGTGGTGGCGCACACCTGTAATCCCAGCACTTGGGAGACTGAGGCAGGAGGATCATTGCAAGTTCGAGACCAGCCTGGGTTACAAAGTGAGCTCAAGGCCAGCCTGAACTGCATAGTGAGACCCTGTCTCAAAAAAGACGAAAAAAAAAAAAGTTCTTTTATCAGTTGTATTTTAGTGTATGTCCTTTCAGTTCTCTTTTTTTTCATGAGTACTCTCTTACGAGAAGGCCTGTTGAGTAAAGTAAAAGAAATAACATACTTAGAAATAACATACAAGCATTTTGGGAGAGGAGTGTTTTTTTTCCTTTGACTCCATATCTTTTAATGCTGTCACTTGCCCTACTTTGCTTGGTTGTATATGTAATTTGGCTCTTTGTGTTTTTTCTTCCCCCTCAGAATTCCGTTCTGGAAAGGCCCCCATCCTCATTGCCACGGATGTAGCCTCCCGTGGGCTAGGTTTGTATAGATAGGTGTCTCTCTCGATGGTTTCTATATCTTTTGGTTTAAAGATTTGTTTGTCACTTGAAATTTAGAGTTGTGTATACATCTATTTAGTGAAAAGAGAAGGATATAGGTTTTTTTTTTCCCCTCCCCACAATTTTTTTCATCCTTAGTTTTGTTTTTTTGCGGGGGGGTTCTCCCCCTTTTATTTTCAAAGTCTCTTCCTGCTCCTAACAAACAGGCTTTGGTCTGCAGCAAGGCCTAGGCATGACTCCTCAGTTAGAGGGAGAAGAGACACTCAGTTGAGCAGTTCTAACTTCTTCCTGATTAAGTCTTATTTTCTGGCTGGATAGAACGAGCCTGATTGAACCTAGCTATCATGAGCTAGTTTCTTCCGGTCATTCTTTTCTGTATATCATTTTGTCTGTTGTACATAAATACATATTGAGACCTGGTTCTGTGGATCCTTATTAAGTGAAATTTAATAAGTCTATATTTCATTAATTAAATATGCATTGCCCAGTGTTACTTGCTGAAGTAAATTAATGATGGGCTCTCAGTTACCCCTTCCTCCCAACCATACTTGTATCAGAGCTGTGTTAATGCTGAGAGCTTAATCAGAAGGTGTTCTGGAGCTTTTGACCCATTATGATCAATACTGTGGTACTTAAGCCCATCATTCTGAGCTAAACAGGTCTGACTCAGAACTTCTGTATTTAAAAAGAGATGATTTGTATCACTAGGAAATCTTCAGACTATTGACAGTAATATCTTGTCCAGTAAGGTGAGAAGCACCATATTCCCGTATATCACTTAAAGAAAACAAGCATTTACACTGGACTAAAAAGTGGTGGAGCCTTTTTATCCATTGGACTTATCATTCCCTCCTTCAGAGGTGGTGACGTGCAGCCATGACGGAGAGTTGTCTCTGCCCTCTGAGGTCATGTCTGGAGCTGTGCCGTTAGAACTTGAGCCTGTCGGGAGAGAAGGCGGAGGCCTGAAAGCAGTTCATACAAATGCTTTCAGTGATGGTGGTTTTTAAACAGGCTTGCTATGTGCTGGTAGCTTCTTTGTGCATCTTGCCTAGACAATTAAAAATATTTGCTCCATGTTCCCCTATATTTCTAAACCAAATCAATTGGCTACCATTAGAATAATTTAGACTCTTCATCCTGCCCCCTCTCATCCAAGTGAGGGGAGAGGGAAGGTACCTGAGTCTGTTTCTTGTTACTCAACATCAGTGTTTACTTTGGGCCCCTTTATTTGCTGCCTTATAAAAATCAAAGGAGGGAGAAAACCCACCAAAATGGCAGAATTCTGACCTAGGTCCTACAAGATCCTGGAAAGTGAAGGCTTCTACCTCATAGACAGGGGTGCAATTTTCAGCTGAGTCACCAGGCCTTTTTTCACTTCCTGTCAAGCGATGGTCTCTTAAATGTTCCCTTCAGGTAAGTTCTTTGCTTCCCCTAATTTTATAATAGGCAACCACAATGCCCTTTCCACTGGGATATTTTTAATTTCTCCTTTTTTGTTTAAGCTACACACTGTTAAACTAAAAGTATTGAATTTAATTTGTTTTGTTTTTTAACAGAAGCTTTGCTATCAGCTGCAGATCACCCAATACATGGCCAAGGCAAAATCTACATTGGCCCGAAGCAGCTCTAGATGAGCCTGTTTGGCTAGTCTGAGACCCTCCCAATTAGTGATTGGACATTCAGGCCATGTTGTAGGGCTTTCCAGACCACGGGTTCTTATTGCTGGCCAGAACGTTCACTTTTCTATTTCTTACCCTGCTACAGCATCTTCTGTAAAGGCAACAGGATAGTATTGTGGCAGTGCATAAATAACAGCAGGGCAGGCCTGCCTGGAGAAAACCCAAGTCTGCTCTTGCCCTCACGTGCCGGCCAGCCATGTGTATGCACAGGACACCTTTCTAGTATGAAGAACTTGCATCATGTCCATCCCTTTGAGCCCCGCCAGAAGTGCCCCCAAACTAGTATCTGAACTGTCGGCTGCTTTCTGCTAGGAATTACTGTGCATCTGGTGCAGTAGTTCACCTTGTACTGCTTCCCACAGTCACACTCCATGTGAGTGACTTGGGAGCATTATCCTAGCTCAGAAGATGCAGTCATGAAATATAATTCCCCATACTCTCCCCTGCCTCACCCTTACACCCATGTCCTGTACATTAAGATTTTTCTTTGTAGCATCAACGGCCCTAGCCTGAGACTCACGCTGCCCCCTGTGATAAGTGCCTTCTCGTCTTTCTGGTGTGATTCAGGACTTTAGGGGTCAGTAACGACCGAGGAGCCTTTATTGTAATAAGAAACAGACATAATGCCCTTTGTTCACAAGCCCTACAACAATAGCTGAATTTTTTTTTTTTAATCATCTCCCCTTTTCCCCTGAAATTATTCCAGTCTGGGCAATAGATGCAGTCTGACCCTTTGGATGTAACTTACATTTTTTTTATTAATCATTTTTTTCTACAATCACCCCATTTACCTTGGGGGAGGCGTTGGAGGACCTGAAATTTTTACCCGAACCCAGGTTCTCCGGCGCTTGGCAACCAAATGGGGCTACAGAGAAGCATCTAAGCCAGTTCACAGAGCGAGCGTGTGTGGGGACTTCTCACTGCCATGGACCCTTGATGCATGCTCCCCGCGCTCCAGTGGTCCCGTGTCAGAAGGCGGAGTTTTCGAAAGGAGGCCGCCAAAAATAAAAGGCAAAGAGACGGGATCGGCTGCAGCGGTTTCCCAAAGGAGGAGGGAGTGTGCATCGGTCTGGTAACAAACAGAGAATGTTTTTTAATTATTTATATCACAAAAATCTGTGTTTTATCTAGGATATTTTCTGAATATTCTTTGTAAAATGCAGATTTTTTTTTCCACAAAACATTAGGATTCTGTTTATTAAATTTGTTTGTTTTAAGTAGGTAAAAGGAAAAAGTACATTTAGCTATAAGCATTACACTAACATTTACATGATTTAAGTACTAGGTTATTCAGCCCAATTCCCAGCAGTGGACAGAATGTGACTTGTGTCTCAAGGTTTCATGGTTTTTCCCACGTTCTTTGGCTATTAATTTCCCAGGTCACAGAGATTATCTTGATCATTGAAATAAGTACTAAGTCTGAAATAACCTTGAGTTGAGCAAAAATTCATTTGATAGAAGCTGGGCTTGGTAGTATAGTGAAATTTTAGTGTAATGTGCTCTACTGGTATTTGAAAAGGGAGAGGTAATCTGGATGTTTCTGCAAAGAAAAATAGGTGTGTGCTTTGCTCAGGTTTTTCTTAATATAAGAGGGGAGAATTTACCCTAAAGTTGTGTTAAGTTGCCTTGGAAATGTAGTAATAAAGTATATGAAGCTCCTTTTTTTATTTTGCTCTGTGACTGGCGTAAAGGTAAGTTTGTATGTTTTTGGTAGATTTTGCCAGGCTTCTCCCAACAGAGTAGAAGTGATTTGGCCCTGTAACTTAACAGTGGATACTGCTTTTCTTCTGCACTCCAGTTTTGAAAAGGTGGCACTGGAATTTGCCAATCTGAAGACCAAATCTTGGCACAACTCCTGCGTGTATGCCGGTTAAATCAGAAGAGGCAGGAGTTCAGATGGTTGGATGGGATTCCCTTAGGATTTTACAGCCAGTAAAGATGCAACATCCCATACATATCTCAAGAACCACTAATCCTCTTTTACTCTGTTGGGATGAGTCTTTTTTGTTCCCTCTCAGAGTGGTTACTAACTTCGTCTTCTCTCCTCTTGCTGTCATCTGCATTCGTGCTTCCCACCTGTTGTTGGCATGTCCTTTACCTTCTCTTTCCCTGCCACATCAACCTACACACTGACTCATCATGGACTGCAAAGATGTGGAAGATGTCAAGTTTGTCATCAACTATGACTATCCTAACAGCTCAGAGGATTATGTGCACCGTATTGGCCGAACAGCCCGAAGCACCAACAAGGGCACCGCTTATACCTTCTTCACCCCAGGGAACCTAAAGCAGGCCAGAGAGCTGATCAAAGTGCTTGAAGAGGCCAATCAGGCTATCAATCCAAAACTGATGCAGCTGGTGGACCACAGAGGAGGCGGCGGAGGAGGGGGTAAGGGTAAGTCCTGGAGTTTTCCAGGTACTGCCAAGGTATCTTCTTTTTGTGTGTTTATTGTACCCTGTTTTTTAATCTTGTGAAGACTTTTAAGTATGTTGCTTAATCAGAAAGGCCAGTATTCATGACTTATAAAAGAAAGTGATTGTCCTACTTTTGTACCACACTGTTTCTGTCAATTATAATCTAAAAATGACCTTTCAGTTTTGAAGTATGTGCTGCATGCTTAAAATTAAGCTAGCCTGTAGTTGCTTTATATCTTCAAAATACTTAGTATATTAGGTTTTTAATTTTGCATATGAATAGATCTTTAATTATATACCATTTTAGTAGAAATTGAGACATTACAGTTGATTCTACACAGTTGGAAAATATACTGGGATCTGGACTTCGTAATTCCCAGTTCAGTACAATGAATTGAGTTTCTAGATTGTTCTCATGAAAAAAGCCTAGCTGGGTGTGGTACAAACCACAATCTTAGGAGGCCAGGACAGGAGGATATAGTAAGTTTGAGGCCAGCCTTAATTCTGTTGACCCATGTTAAGAAGTAAAAAGGCTAGGGATGCTAGATGTTTAGTAGTTGAGCACTTCCATAGCATACACAAAGCCCTGGGTTCAATACCTAGTACCACAGAAGAAAAAAAGGCCTAAAAGGGCCAAAAGTTAAGTCAAGTACTAACTTAGAGTAGCTCTAGACTTGCTGAAATCAAGGAAACAGTGTGGAATATGTCTGACCCTTTGTGAGTTTTTAATATTTGGATATGTTTGGCTCATGTACCTGACATTAAAAAATACCTTATGTCCTCCCATCAGGAGGTCGCTCTCGATATCGGACCACTTCTTCAGCCAACAATCCCAATCTGATGTATCAGGATGAGTGTGATCGGAGGCTTCGAGGAGTCAAGGATGGAGGCCGGAGAGACTCTACAAGCTATCGAGATCGTAGTGAGACCGATAGAGCCGGTTATGCTAATGGCAGTGGCTATGGAAGTCCAAATTCCGCCTTTGGAGCACAAGCAGGCCAATATACCTATGGTCAAGGCACCTATGGGGCAGCTGCTTATGGCACCAGTGGCTATACGGCCCAGGAGTACGGTGCTGGCACTTACGGAGCTAGCACTACCACCTCAACTGGGAGAAGTTCACAGAGCTCTAGCCAGCAGTTTAGTGGGATAGGCCGGTCTGGGCAGCAGCCACAGCCACTGATGTCACAACAGTTTGCACAACCTCCAGGAGCTACCAATATGATAGGTTACATGGGGCAGACGGCCTACCAGTACCCCCCTCCCCCTCCTCCCCCTCCGCCTTCTCGCAAATGAAGCCGATTGAGGTGGGGTGACTTGTGCAGACTTAATTACATTTAAAGGAACACCAACTTCCCTTTTATTTTCTTTCTTCCCTTTTTTTTTTTTTTTTTTTTTTTATTTTTGTCTCCCAACCATTGTGATTTGCCCTTTCATGCAGATTAGTTAGAATTCACTGTCAGGTTTCTTCTGCCTGCCAAAATGGTCCAGTCTGTAATAACAGATTTTGTAAAAAGTATATAACCGACTGGAAGAGATTAATTTCTTCCCCCAACTTTGCATGTTGAGGATATTTGAGCTATTTTTCATTTTAAAAGAAAAAGGTATTAGGAGCCAGTTTTTCCTTTTGTGGGAGCCAGTTTTTCCTTGTCCCGAGTTGGTGGGGAGGGAAGGGGGGTCTGAATTGTTCTGCAGAAGAAAATGGCATCTGCTGTAAATGCTCTCATCCCTGGGTTAGAAAACCAAGAGGGGTTTCCTTGCACATTTTCTGTGGTGGTTTTTAACATTTCTCCAGTGGGGCCCGGCTCCTCAGTTTTTAAGACAGTGCTTTGCTCTTGTCATTTTGGCTCATGATGGCTGAAGTGCATTTGAAGTTAAAATTTCCTAGTTGGTTTTGTGTCCCTTACACTCTGCCTCCCCTTGCTCCTATCCCAGTTACTGGAAAAATAGCCAGTTTAGTGTCAGTTTAGAAATTGAATTGCTGAGTCTACCTATATCTTTTAAGTTAACTGCAAGCATTTCTCACGCTGGCTAAACTGTAGCATCTCAGCATCTGGGTAAAAGCTACCTGTGTTTCTTGCCCATATAACCAGGGACCATCTGTGAAATTGATTATCTAGCCAGACAGCTGCTGTGAGCAAATGAACATAAATGCTCACTGGAAATTTACTTTATTAAACAGTTGAGTCTGCATTCGCCAGCAGTGTAAGAAGCTTCTTTATTTATAGTATACTCAAAATGGCCAGATTTTGAAGCTCAGTATTTATAGTGGTAGAGTAAGCAGCTCTTTGCCAGCCTCTCTACCCCTGTGGCCAAGTTTTCTTGAGCAAAAACTAAACCCCTCCAGTCTCTTCCTTTTATCCTCTGCAGTGCTGTGTAACAGCCCTCTGGGTGCATAATGTCCCCTGCATCCTTCTGCACTTAGCTCTTCACAGGTAGGTAGTGCTTAGGAAATGTCTGGAGGATGAGAGTCTTAAGTTTGTTTCGTTTGTTTTTGGTTTTGTTTTTTGAATTTCCTCTGAATGAAGGTAGGTGAATTCATCCCCTTAGTAGTACTGCTTTGCTGAGACTTAATAGCAGGTGAACCTAGAAAAGATTTTCTGCTCTTGGTTCACTGTAAACAGGAAGGGCAATCAGACAGTCCCAGAACCCTTTTGGAGATCCAGTGTGATGGGATTGTTTTTATTCTGGTACTGGTATTGTTTGCACACAGTGGAATTAAGGGAGGATGCTCTACTGTGTTCTTCGTGGCCTGAGAGTGCTTGCTAGTTTATAAGGTCTAAGTATTGAAATACTTCAGATTTTTTGCTTTTGTTTTTGTTTTCCCTTTAAAATCCTTCAGGGAGAGAGAAGGGATGGTTTCTGAGGGGTTCTGACAGTATGATTCAGTGTGCAACATACAGGTAGGTTATCAGCATAAGCTGAAATGTATGCATGTTAAAGCCTTTGACATCCTTTCTTGTTTTTCACCTCCTTTTTCCTTTCCTTTTGTTCCCCCATCTTAAAGAGGTGGAGGCCAAGGGAGGATGGTAGGAATAGAAGAAATGTGGCAAAACTGCTCTCTGCTTTCAAATTTTAAACCAAAGTACTATAGCTGCCACCACTACCCACCCCACCGCCTCCAAAAAAAGTGTCTCTTAGGTACTGACAAGTCTGTTGTGGACATTTCTTTCTACAACCAATTTCTGATATATTTTTCTTTAAACCTAGAGATTCTACTACAGGAGATGTCCTCCTCAATGCAGCTCCTACAAATATTTCAGGGCAAGGTCTCGGTGTGCAAGCAGCATCTGGAGTGCTTGCTTCCCCTTTCCTTCAGGGACATTGTAATTAACAAAATAACAGCAAATTCCAAATTTCCAGGGCTTCTGTGGTCTGAGCACAGCTGAAAATCTAGCAGTTTTTCCTGTTCACTCTAAGGTAACTTCCACGTCCATGTCGTAATTCAGGTTCTGCTCTTCAGAACATGAGCAGACAAGTCTTGATGCCATTCGTGGTTGAAACTTACTTGGGCAGAGGGTTTCAGTATTAAGCTATGGGCTGCTTCTCCCCAGTCCCTCCCTTGCAATTCATTGTGCGGACTTCTTTCGTCTAAAAGGTTGGTGGCTTTTGCTTGGGATCAGTGCTCTCTACTCATATCCTTGCTGGTCTCTAAACACATTCCTGTTGCATTAAGACTTGAAAGATTTGTAGATGTGTGATGTTCAGGCACAGGATGCTAAGAGCTATGTTACTATTCTTAGTTTGTAAATTGTCCTTTTGATACCATCTTGTTTTCTTTTGTAGGTATAAATAAAAATACTGTTGACAATAAGGTGTGAATTTTTTATTGCTCAAAACTTTTGTTTCAAGACAAAAGTTGGGTATTAGATGGACTAATAACCTTATTAGCACCTAAAACTGAAAGGAAGTGGGATGGTTGGTTTTAGTGCAAGCATTTAACAGGGCAGGATACTCGGTAGGTAAATGTTTGGTATTTTCAGCGCATCAGTAAAACGGTGATAATGGCAGTGCTGCTGCCTAAGCTGGCATCTGGGATAAAGGTAGAGTACAAGTCTCACTTGAACCATAGTAAAGACCCAAGCCAGTTTGAAAGGTGAGGCACAAATGATGTCACTTTCTGCCAAAGCTAGTACATTTGTTTTGCTGTGGCTTGAAAGCAGTGTGAAGTAAAATAACGTTTCATTCTTACAAGCTAATACTGTTATATCCTGGCTACCTCAGTTTGGTTTACCTGGGAGTGAAAATTAGCATAAAAACACCCCTAATGTTCCAGTTGATCTTCAGTTGGGGCATTCTTACGCACAGGGATGTCTTTCCAGATTGTTCCTGTTGCTTGGCATGTCTTGTACCAGGGCTTTAAAGGATCAATGGTTTATCCATTCATGGCTGAGGCACCTTTAAGGTTTTTCTTTCCAGTTGATATTAAAGCCCCAGACTTGTGCACTTGGCCTCCACTTTTCACCAACTCTGTTGAGGATTTAAGTTTGTACTCACGAGGTCTAGGTGGAATGACCAGTTCTTTGCTGAAACCCATACCAGGCATCTTTCTGGCTTTATCCATGATCGTAAGTCATGGGTAAGTTCACCCATGGTTCCCTCAGTGTCCTTTTTAAGGTATAGACCATCTTTGAAGGCCTTCAAACTGGCATTGGAAGACTTAACTTCTTTCCTTTAAGAACTGGAAGAAAGTGGAGATGAAATTACAAGTGACCAGACTGACCAAAGGACTGCTTTTTTGTGTGTGCACAACCCTTAGTATCATTTAACATCCAACTCACGGTGTCAGTATTAAAGCCAAGGGGGAAGTGGGTCTCGTTAACCAGAGACAGGCTGACCCTTCAGGATGTAAATTTGGCAGTTGGCCTCAATTGCCTTGTTCCATGCTAGGTAGTACAACCAGCCAGTTCCTCGCTTTGGTTTACTGACTTACATGTACAGTTGAAGCTGTCCCACTGCAGCTAGAGTCCCTGTTCTGGCGGCTGCTTTATACACACAGAAGCTTTGTGGGGTGGGGGGTTCTTCGGTGGATTTGGTTGGTGGTTTTTGTTTTTTTGAGAGCCTTTTGGATATGTAGTTCCAGGTGGCCTTGAAGTCATTACATAGTGCATTGGCTGGTCTAGAACTTGGGGCCTCCCAAATGCAGGGATTATAGGCATGTGCCACCACAGCCAGCCAGTGGGTGGTTTTTGGGTTTTTTAATGAGCCCTCCAGTCAATCCTTGGCAGAAAAGGAAGTTAAGTCCCTTACCCTGGTTGTCAAGGCCCTTTGAGCTGACATGGGTAACTCCAGGTTTATGAGGCTTTTTATGGCATCTTCCTTCATTAACGTATGTACCGCAGAGGGCACAGCTATGGCATTGCTGTTCTCTCACGTACTTACAGCAGAGATGAACAGCTCAAGCCATTCCCCAGAAAACTGCTTCCCTGGCAGCACCTACCTTTGGTCACATACAAGTAGAAGAAGTCACAGTAGAAGATGGTTTGCACTACCCCAGACACCACCGCGATCTGGTCGTAGAAGTTCTCGGTCTGGTAGCGCCTGATCCAGTTGGCCAGGTACAGCACCCGGTAGAGCCCCAGGAAGAACAGGTAGTGTGTAGTGATGGTCTCGGCCTCTCCAGTCTTACTGATCATGAAGAGCTGGGGCAGGATGGCCACTGATTCCAGGTAGATGGAGAAGGTCCAGAGGATCTGAGGCAGAGCAAAGCCACAGAGGTGGTGAGCAAGGTCAAGAGGGCCTGTCTATAGAAAGCCAAATGCTACATGCAATGGCTGGAGAGAATAGGCATTAGCAAAAGAAAAACTTCAGGTTCTCAAGTGTTTGGGCAGGACAGGAGGGGGCTGCTGGGCATGCAACCCAGACCACTGAGCTACACCCCAGCCGTCAGAAGCTTTTCTGTTCTAATTGGCTTTTTTGTGGTGCTGGAGATGGAACCCAGGCCTCATGCATGCTGGGCAACCACTATACCATTAAGCTACACCCCCAGCCCCAAACTAATGTTCTGTCAGAATACACTCTCACCTTTGCAAATACAAGTTGGATTTTTAAGATTATACAGTACATACTGCTTGTTTCAGAACAGCACGATGTTTCTATGAAACAATTTTAAGGTTGCAGTTTTGTTGAATAAACTTGCATAATTGAAGGCAGTTTCTCAAAATATAGTCCGTAAGCGGCACCAGCAGGATCTCTAGGAATTTCATTTCCCGTGTTTTTGCAGGCTATAGCTCAGGCCTGCTGAGGTGACCTCAGCCTGCACTGCTCTAGGGATCTGTTCGTGATACGCTGGACCAAGGTCTCAGCCACAAGGAAGACTGGTGTGTGTGGCTTATGGACACCATGGCTATTAGCAGCAGTCACGGTGGTGGCACAGGCCCAGACTCCACTGTGGACCAGAGAAGGATGCTGCGGGACCCGCCTCACCTTCCTTTCAACCTTTCTTTTATTGGGGGTACCAGGAATCAAACTCAGGCCCTCCTGCTTGCCAGGCAGGTGCTGTGCCACTGAGCTCTATGCCTGGCCTTGCCCTTGGCATCAGCACTCAGTCCGCCTCTCACCTCCAGCGGCGTGAAACTGTAATTCTCCAGGAAGGAAAGGCCGATGACTGGGACCAGAAGAAACTCCAGGCGGAACGTGTCGTTCTCGATGTCAAATGTTTTACGAAATTTCCCATAGATCATATACACTGTGACATACGCACAGAGGAGAAAAACCACCTAAAAAGGGAGATAGGCACGGGAATCTGTGACATTATTTGTCAGCCTTTGAAGCCACCAAACCCACAGGCCAGTGTTCTGCCATCACGCCAAGGTGAAATGCTGACCACACCTCTTGGGCCCATGGCCTAGAATCCCAATTTAATGACACTTGTGAAGTAACTCCATGCCTCCAACAGGGACTGGCAGTGCTCGCAGAGTCAGTGGTACCCCAGTTGTCCCTTCCATCTGCAGAGCATTGAACAAAAACAGGACCAGCTGGGCGCGGTGTTGCACGCCTGTAATTCTATCAAGAAGCTGAGGCAGGAGTATCACAAATTCAAGCCTATCCTGTACTAGAGTGAGACCCGGACTGAAAACACCAAAAATTAAAAAAAAAAACAGGGTCTTTCTCGGGATTTAGTAGTGGCAGTCTAGGGTTCCTAAAAAAAAACAAAACTCCCTGGATGTGCATGAGTGTCTTGTAAGTATTCACAAGGGCTAATGTCCCATGAATTACTTGGCTGTAATTCTTCAGAAAAGCTTGGCAGTAGCTGTCCTGTGGTGGCTAGTGGTTCCGTTTAGCTATGCTTCTACTCTTCCAGACCAGTGCTTCCCAAACAAGATGCACCAAAATCACCCAGATGCACCAACATCCCACCTCCTGAAGCCTCACCTTCATGACTGTGTTGTAGACGGAAATGAAGTTGGTGAAGAGGTCCAGGTACCTCGTGGTGAAGACAAGGGCGAAAAGGATCTGGCTCTTCCCAGAGATGCCTGTGCCAGAGGGGACAGGAGATAGTGACAAGAGAGCCCCAGGCCATCTGCACCCCCAGACCGCAGAGCCTGGAGCCAGGATGGCCTGGAGTCGCCCTGTCTGGTCCTGAGGGTCAAGCAACTCAGCCTTCCCTTCAGCTCCTTGCAGTCCAGCTCCTCTCATTCAGCTGTAGCCTGTCAACCAAATAAGGACACGAACACCGAGTTCCCGGAGTTCCCAGTCCCCCTGCGTGTGCCGCCTCGGTTCTTGCTCGGGGAGGATGTTGGGGGTGGCGGGTGGTGTGAGCCAGGCTGGGCAGGGGTGTTGAGGCTTCTTTGTGCTCCACCCCCAGGGCTCCAGTGACATCCCCAGAACTCTGTCCCTCCCGGGAGAAGGAACAGTGACTCCATAGTGTGGTCTCACCAATGAGGCCAAAGCCAGCAGAGGAAGGCATTGGCCAGAGGTGCATTCCATTTAATTTTCTCAAATGCAAAGATTTAAAAAGCCCATTTCCTAGTTATAAAAGTTATGTCTACTTTTACTTTTTATAAAACAAAAATCAGGTCTGGGGGTATAACAGTAGAGTGCTTATGTGCATAAGGCCCTGGGTTTCCCTCCAGTACTGGGAAAAAAAGGGGAAAAAAAGTATAATAAGATGTAAAGGAAACAGCCTCTGTGTGCCTCGTGGGTCCCTGTGTGCACACGAGTGTGCACGCATGCGCATAGGCAGCACGGTGTGTCACTCGACTCGGCCTTTCCTTTGTTCTCTCTCTCCACTTCTTATCGAGGAACTTTAGGTTTCAGGCTGCACAGAGAGCCCCTGTCCCTTCACCAACCCCCACACGTGCAGACCTCGCCTTTGACGACCGTTTGCTGCTCACTTCATCAATTCAAAGGCCAGAGCAAGGCTCGTGCTTCCCACCGACCAGACCACGCCTGTCCTGCCAGTGTCCCCCCCACCCCGCACCCTCTTTCCACTCCAGCATCCAAACCTGGAGTCTCTGCTGCTTTCGTCCCCATGCTCCTTGGGTTCCTCCAACCACCAGTGACAAGTCACGGAGGCAGTTCCAGGGCCAGGCATGGACATCCCTCCATCACTGCTGTGGAGCTAGCCCGGGTCACCTCTGCAAACCACTGCCATCCACGACACCCACATCTCTGCACCCCAAAGCCCACTGTCGTGCTCCCTCAGTGTCCTGCTCCCTCTTGTGGCTGTGTCCTCCATGCCACCTAATCCTTGCCTGCCCAGTCCCCTCCACCACCTCGGCCACCCCCACTCCAAGGAACCTCCAGCTCCAAGCTCTCCTGCGTAAGCTTGTTTCCGCCTGTCTACTTTGTATGGGGGGTGCACAAGACCCCAACTCACCACAGCCCCCCCTTTCTCAACCCAATCACCAGGCCCCACCAAACGCCATATTTCTTAGTTCTTCTCCCAGACTCCAGTGCCCTCAGATGGCCCAGCTACCCTCCCCTAAGGACTCATAGCCTGGTCTCCCCAAATCCTTCACTGCTGCCCACTCACACCCCAATTTCATTCTCCATTCAGCAATCCAAGGGCTTTTTTGTTTGTTTTTTTGAGGCAGGGAATCACTATGTAGCCCAGCTTGGCCTCAAACTCGTGGCAGTCCTGCCTCAGCCTCCTAAGTGCCTACATTATAGCAGTGCACCACCACACCCATCGGAGGGCTATTTTTAAAATAAAACTTTGCTTAAACCATTCAAGTGGCTTCCAAATGCCCTTAAAATAAAGACCCAAAGCCTTATCCAGCCCTGAGGTCCTGCCCAAACTGTCCTTTCCCTGGTCCACACCAGAGTGAGTCTTGCACCCTGCAGCCAGGGCCACAGTTCTGGGTATCATTAAAAATGGAGCATGCTACTGACACATGACCTCCTCAAGGTCTAGCTCCCCTGCATCCCCGATGGTGCCTTCCTTTCACCCTCCATGACCAGGCATTTGGGGGAGGGACATTTTTAATGACCAAGTAGGGACACACCTGCCTGCCACACTCTGGACAGTGCTGGGTCCATTCCTCACCTGTAAAATAGGTGCTCACCTCCCACCCCTGGGCAGCACTGACGTGAGGAAGAAGGTCCTACTACAGTCCCTGGGGCCTGGCACCGTGTGCTTCGGGTGAGGGCAGCAGTAGGCTAGGTGTGAGCACAGCAGGGCTGGGTGCAGACCCAAGGCTGGCTCTTGGTCTGGTGGATGTGAGGCCACCTCTCTAAGCCCTGAGAGCCTGCCAGAGCCCCGGGTCCCACGGAGGATGTCCCGTCCCAGAGGTAGCCTGCCCCCTCCTCCCCTGGGCCTTACACCTCCTTTGCCTCTTCAGGGGTCCTGGCAGCCTTGAGCACAGCAGTTTTCCCACTTTTGAAAACAGGTGATTCCCACCCATTGAGGAGCACCAGGGTCCCACAGAGAGGCGGGGATGGGCAAGAACAAAGCCCACAGCTCCTGCCAGCGTCCTGCCAGGGTCTGTTGGACTCGTCTACACACACAGGCTGGTCCAAGCCACCACGCTGCCCCTTTTCTTTCCCTGCAAGCACCTAACGCCCCTGAAAGACCGGCTCATTTACTCCGTCGCTCAGACTGTCTCTTGCTGGTGGTTTCCCAGCCTGGGTCTGCTCTGCCAGGCAAGTCCCTGATGGGTGCTCCATCCCAGGCGCCCAGCATGGTGCCAGGGAAAGAGGGCAGGCAACAGCGCCCCTCCAGGTCCAAGCACGGAGTGCAGAGATGGGTCCCTGCCCATTCTCCCTCCACCATCTGAGTCCCTGGCCCACTTCCCAGGTCCAGAGCGACTGCCTCCGGAGCACCCCTGGTGCATAAACCCACGTTTATGAGCCTGCAGCGCCTCAAGCCCGCAGGTAGCGGTTCCACCCCGCCCAGTCTCCATCCCTCTCTCCATTCCAGACAGCCCTGCGTCAGGGCCTTTCCTCAGCTTCCTCCCCTCTTCCCAAGCTTTCCATGGTTCCCGGGCTCCTCTCCCTGGGGACCCTCCCTGGGACATGCCCCCTCACAGTGTGGCGACCTCCATGTGTCTGCATCTCCTCCTTGGACTGCACACCTACTTCCAGCACAGAGCTCCTCCATGAAGCCTTGAGGCTGCTCTCTGCCTCTGCAGCCCGCAGGGAGCCTGGGCTCACCGGCTCCTCTCACCCCAGAGCCAAGCACAGGGGGCACCTGGACCACAAAGATGGCGGTGCGCTGCCGGAGGGGCCCGGGTAGCCCCTGACTGCACTGGGTCTCTGTCGACCCCTACCCAGCCCTGGAACCTCTCCCCGCCCAAAGCCACCAGGCAGACAAGGAGCTTCCTCCACCCCACCCCACCTCCGCCTGGGAGCAGCTCCATGCCCACCTGGTCAGGCTGGCCAGCTCCTGCCACACCACAGGCAGGGGCAGGAAGGGGCCCAGCCTGGAGAGGCTGGGAAGGGCAGGGGGAACAGAGGGAAAAGGAAGAGAAGACCCTGAGTTTGGGGGCCACTGCCTGAGTGCACACCCTCTCTTCCCCGCGCCCCCTGCGAGGGCAGAGGACAATGAGAGTCACTACTGGGATCGAGAGGGCGGCACCTCCTTCTTATCTCCCCCCTCCGCCCACTCACCTGGGAGCGGTGGTAATAGGCCAGCTCGGAGGAGGCCAGGGTGGGGGTGTAAGTGGAGGCACAAGGCCTCCCTTTGCCCCAGTCTCCGCGACCGTCCTGTGATACCTACAACTTAACTTCTTTTTTCCTTTTTGGAAGCTGAGCTTCTGAGGGAAGACGCCACCCTACACAGCCATTCCACAGCGGCCCTCCTGCAGGCAGGGGGCCGGGACAGGACCCTGCTCCCTCCGGGGGCGCCCCTCACCCTTGCAGCTCTTGGACCTCCAGATCTTCCCCAGGAGCAAGATCATGGCCAGGAGGTGGCTCAGGTCACCGAGGATTCGGAACACGTTCATGGTCCAGCCCGCCGGTCCGGCGTGCGCCCAGCAGCGAACTTCCAGCAAACTTTCCGGCGCGCGGGGCGGCTGCCACGTCCCCGGCCACGGCCTCGCAGCGCCCCAGGCCAGGCCCGAGCCGACCGGTTCCTCGAGATCCCGGCCGCCGGGCGGTGACGTGGCCAGGCCGGGCACAGGGTGGGGAGCCAGGAAGCGGCGCCGCGGGGAGATCCCGCCTCCCGCCGTCCCGCCCTGCGCCGGGCGGGGCCGCCACAAGGGTCCCCGCCTTCCCTGGGCAGGCTACCCATTCCCAGTCTCCCAGTCCTCCTCTCTGTCCAGTCCCTCCGCCCCATTTATTTCTTCTGAGACCGGGTCTTGTAGCCCAAGCTGACCTCAGACTCACTTTGTACCCAGGCTGGCCTCAATCGCCATAGCCTCCTGCCTCAGCTTCCCGGAAGCTGAGTTTACAGACCCTCATCTCTTCACCTGCCTGGAGACCTTGGTGCCTGGGAGAAATGGGGTCCTCTGTGCCAGTGCCACCCCTTGGACTCGGAACTCCTGATGGGGTGGGGAGAAGCTGGGACAGGGTCCCTCCCTTACCTGCGAATTTGGTGCTACCTGACCTCATAGGGGTGCGTGACAGTGATGACAATTTTGCAGGTGGAGTCCAGCTGACCTCCATGCCAGCCTCCTTATTGTGGGCCTCAGTTTTTCCATCCTTAAAACGGGGTTGCTACGTGAAGGAGGTGACATTTGTTGGGGGTATCCAGGGCCTCCGTGCATGCCTCCCTCCTCTCGGTGTGCAGCGATGTTACCTGGGCACACAGGCTGGGGAGACCCCAGAGGGGGAGCAGCAGGAAGGGTGGAGGACCTCTGGGTGCTGTGTGGCCGAGCACATCTGCCACCCTCCCTGGGTGTCAGTCTCTGCATGTGTAAGAGTGCAGTGGATGAGCCAAGGGCCCTCACTATCCACTCCTCGACCCCTGTCAGCCCTTCCCCATTCGGGACCCTCACACCCCGCCCCCCATGGACCTTGTCCCAGGCCCTCCTCCAGCCACAGACAGCCAGAGGGGCTTTCTCATGTCCCTCCCATGTCGCTCCCTCTGTGGCCCCCAAGCCCTGGCCGTGGCTCCAGTGCCAGGCATCCTCGAAGGCTCAAAGTGTAGCCCAAGAACTCAGAGTTGCTACAGCCCGTGGGGAGCCGGTCGGCCCTCCCCAGACCTCCTGCCTGGGGTGACTCAGACTCTGCCTCTCCACGCTCCCCAGGCTCCGGGAGTCGTGTGCACACGCGAGTGTGAGAGCGCCGTCTCAGCAGCACGAAAAGGGAGGCACTGCGGTTCCCATCTACACGCAAGGAAATAGGCACAGATTTGCTTAAGGTTACCGTGCCACCGAGGAGCCCCGGAGCACGGATGCCAGCACTGCTTGACTGCAGGGCTCGTGCGGTTGCATCATCCCACTACCCCGTGGGTTGCCACGGCAGGTGACAGCTCCCTGTCGTGAGAGGTGGGTAGCGGGGGGGGGCATTTGTCAGAGGGGGTGCCAGGCCAGCATCAGGCACGCCAGGCGCGTTGTCTCCATTCTCTCCACAGGTACCACTTGGCAGGTGATGGAACCAGAGAGGGGAGCTGCAGGGACCAAGGCGCCAGCCAGCACCGTCTCTGGGCTGTGGCACAGGACGGGGCCTCTGGTCCCTGATCCCCCCAAAACTCTCCCTAGATGCCCCTCCAGCCGGTGCCCAGAGGAGGCGGAGGCTATTTAAATCCCTCAGGTGTGGCTGCGTTCTCTCTGCCCAGCCAGCTGGCATCTCCTGCTCAGCGCCCACCTCCTCCCCAAGCCAGGGAAGAGCACGTGCATTTGCCATTTGGTGAAACATCTGTCCTCCTGGGAGGCGGCCCTGAGGGCCCGGGGAGAGGGTTGGGCGAGGCTGGTGTCCTCCTCTTCCCTTTTATCTCAGGAGACCCCCAGGGACCTGGCCAAGGCCTAGAAGCCACAGGGTAGAGAACCTGGCTGGGTGAGCCTTGCTCCAAGCGTACACCATGGGCCAGAAGCTGCCATGCCCTCTCTCAGGGCCTCAGCTTTCCTAGCTGTTCAATGGGTTGCAGAGGACAGAATGCTGCTGGTTCATGCTCCTTGTACCCCATCTTCCCTCTCGTGATGAAACTGACACTCAACCAAGGCTCAAATTTCCCTCCCCCACCCCACCATAGCAACCCTAAAAGCTCTAGGGCCTGGTTCCAGCCCTTAGTCAAGCCCTTTCCTAGCCACCCGGTATGCCAGGCAGGTGCTTCTCAAAGTTTCCCATGGAGGGAAGGAGAATCCCTACTTTTTTGTTTATTTTCAGTGTTGGGGTTTGAACACAGGGCCTTTACACTGCACTGCATCTCCAGCCCCCTTTTTATTTCTTATTTTGAGACAAGTTCTCACTAAGTCACTAAATTGCCCCAGCTGGGTTTCTCCTGCCTCAGCTTCTCAGAGTGCTGGGATTACAGGCATCCACCCCATGCCCAGCTTCCTTCCCCACTTAACACACTTCACCGTGGTCCGTGCCAGCCCCCCAGCCCCTGAGCCATTGATCACTCTGTCCCCGCTGAAAGGTGGATCTCAGCAAGTCCCTCACTCCTCTGAGCCTCAGTTTCCTGACATCCAAAAATGATGCAGGAATGCCGTGGAGGGGAATCCAAGAGGGTCACTTCATTCAGCTCCAAGAGCAAGGACCGTTTTTCTTTTTATTAACAAAAAGCAAATTGTATGTTCAAGGTCAGAGTGAGGGAGTTGATTTATTAGAAAAAAACATCTGTCTGTGTAATCTTTTCCTCCAAGCTGGCCCTAGCTGTCACCACTGTGTTGACTGTCCTGAGTGGAGGGAAATGAACGTAGATAGTGAAAATCGCATCCTTGGGACACCTCACCTCTGATCCTCCTCCTCTGGGCAAGGGGCAGGAAGAAGGAACTATGGCCCTGGCTCCTGGGACTCCCCAGCGGCTCCAGAGGCCACCAAGGTGTCACCTGGCCCTGGCGAGTGAGGCCCAGAGGCCCAGGCTCGGAGCCTCAGAGAGTCCATTTCTTAACCGGGCAGGGCTGGGCTCCACTCCAGGTGTTTGCAGAGCTCTTTCCTGGCTCAGTATCTTTTGAATGTTGTACCAAAGAGCCAAAGCCACTGCCTGAGCTGTTACAGAGCTAGAAGTGGAGGTTTTCAAACCTCTCTTCCACTTTTAGTTCCAAGCGTGGAAGACCTTGAAGACCAACTGTGTTCCACGTGCCTTGGGGCAAACGTGGATGCAACCTTAGGGAGCCTTTGGGCACTGTGTACAGACCCAACAACAACAGAGAGTGATTACCCTCAAGGAGGACGGTCTCCGGTCTTGGATCTCGCGGTGGGGTGGAGACCGTGGTTAAGGAAGGTATCAGGGCAAGTGATGCGCTAAGGGCTTTAAGGGGTGAGTAGGAGCTTGCTTCAAAGGCAGTTGGCCTCAATTGCTTTATTCCATACTAGATAGTACAATCAAGTCTAAGCTGGGGATATAGCTCAGTGCCACAAGCACCTGCCTGGCAAGCACAAGGTCCTGAGTTCAATTCCCCGTACCAAAAAAAAACCCCAAACAACAACAACAAAGAAAACAATTAAGTCTGAACTTCCACCGACAGGAACTCCCCAAGTTTAGATTATTCAATCTCTTGGAGTCACAGTTTTCACCTTGGTAACCTAGGTGTAAGCAGTGACCTCAGACAGTAGCACAGGGCCGCAGTTGGCTAAGTACTAAAATGTTTTGCAAGGGGTAAACTGAGTCTCAGAGAGGGGCTGCAAAAGCAAAGCTAGAGAAAAACATGGAAACCGCACGTCCATAAAAGGCCGTTTCTCCCTTAACCGCTTCCGCATACACACACCAGGTGTGACAATTCTGGGCGCTGGAGCCTTTCTGTGTCTTGATCCAGGTGGTAGTGACACGGGTTTTATACATCTGCGAAAATTCATCGAGCTGTACGTTACATCTTCATTAAGGGGAGAGGGGGGAGACACAATAACATGGGCCACGCTGCCCCCCGCCCGCCCTGGCTGCTGGCGACAGGTGTCTTTCAGAGACCCGGAGCGCTGCTGTCTCTGCCGAGCCCGGGAGTCGCGTGCCGCGCAGGGCCTGGCGAGGTTCCCACGGCAACCGCAAGCCGCTCTCCGCTTCTCCTAAGTGACGAGGTGCGAGCCAAGACCCGGAGCTCGGATTTTGGAACCGGAGCCATAGAGCGCGGCTAGAGCGAGATCGCGGCCGGCGAGTGAGAGAGAGGCCGCCCTTGGTCTGGCGCTGGCGTCCCGAGGGCACCCTGCAAACACCACTCCCCAGCCCTGACTGTGGCCTCGAGCTGCTGCATCACACGCCCCTGGGGATTCCTTCTCAGCTTTGCAGGTGGGGAGACGAGGGCTTGGCTCATCCCCAACCTCACCGGAGAAGGAGGGACAAGTCAGGCTCTGACCCCAGTGGCCTGCTTCCCGCCCTGCGAGGACCAGGTGAAAGGCGCGCGGACCAGGAGGAAGGCGCGAGGGCCCGGGGCTCTGGCAACTCCTGGGGCTCTGGTTCTGGCTCTGCTAGTAACTTGCCTGTGGTCTTGAAGTCCTCTCTCCTCTCTGGCTCTTAGAGATGAGACACCATCACCAGTATCTCAGAGTAGCTGTCAGCAAGCGTGTGAACAATCGAGTGTAAAGCCAGCTTGTAAGCTGTAAAGTGTCTTGCACATGTCAAGGACCATCACGGTTGCCTCTCTATTGCTGTCTTGTCCTCTTCGTCACCCCGGCCCCAAGGGCAGCCTCGGTGACATCCAGCTGCACAGTGAGCCTGGTCTCGGAACTCTCCATGCCCAGGGATTTCAGCCTGCAGGTGAGTCGCTCCTCTTTCTCCTCCCCAAGGAATGGCCCACAGCGGCTCACCAGAGGCCAAGGACCCTCTGGTCCCCAGACTTAGAGGGGACCACAGAGGCAGCACCCTCCACCCATGCGCTTGCACATGTCTCCTGCCCTCTGCCCTGTGTCTGGGCGGTAGAAGGTCCCCACTAAATGAGGATGTCTGGGGCCCCAGGACCTGGCCCCTGGGACACGGGCCATTGAGTAACGAATGTCCTTTGGATGCCACGTGCCGGGCATGTGTTGGGACAGTCTCTGTGAATGTGTGTGTCATGTGATGCTTGTGAGTGGCGTTTGTGCCTGGCGTGCATCCCTCAGTGTCTGTGTGCACTTGCGATGTATACCTGAGCGTGTGTATGTAAATGTGTGTTTATGGCTGTGTGGACGGTGCATGCAGGTGTGTGTTGTGCGCTCGTGGCATATGTGTTTACCGTGCATCTATTTGCGTCTTCACTGGTGTGTGTGCAGATCTAAGTGGGCATGTGTTGGGCTGCACTCCCGGATGAGTGGCACTGTCAGGACTGCCGTGGTGTGTGCATGGCAGTGCGCTGGGGGTCTTAGGGCAGCACTTCTATCTCTTCCCCTCACCTGGGCGACCTTCTTCCCCTAACTGAGGACTGCGTAGGGAGGCCCACAGGCCTGCCCAGGCCGGCTCCTGCCCCTTCCACATACTTTTGGCCAGGGCAGGGGCCAGGGTAGGTGAGTGAGCCTGGAGCAGCGCTAATGTGACACCCCTCCCTGCCTGGCCTCCTCCCCTCCCCACAGCAGGAGCAGCAGCGGGAAAGGTTGGCGGAGGGGGGCTATTTTGGGAGCGTCTCCTTAGCAACAGCTGCCACGGCCGTCTGTGGCGGTTTTTCTATAGGTGCTAAAATATTCCACCCTGGTGACTACTGAGTGCCGGGGGGTGGGGGGTGGGTGTGGGTGGCGGGCGGGAGAGACCCCTACAGTCCTCAGTCCCCAGGACACAGCCTGCTGGGATGGGTCCTGGCCCTCTGGACCCCCAGTATCCCTCTCCCCACCTCTGGACCTTACCCTTTGGAGCTGCCAGGCTTTTGGAGTCCAGAGGCAGCCAGCTGTGTCCTGATTTGATTTCTCATCTATGCAGCTGGGTGGCCTCAGTTTGCCTCATCTGCAGAACAGGCTGGCTGGCCTGTAAGGAACTCTCCAGTGTAAAACTCTGGACTGCAGCTCTGGCATTTCCAAGGGGCCCTTTCTCTCTCCTGCCCATCTGTGCCACCTGCGTGGCCCCAGTCCCCTAGCCTTGTCCTCCTTGCCTTTTGCACAGCTTTTCAGGACCCTGTGGGAGCCAGGACTCCTGAGCAGGCCCCCAGCTCTGGCTGGGTATCGAGTGCTGTGCTGGCCTGAAATGACCTTTCTGCAATCCTTGGAGTTGAAACAGGTTCAAATCCTTGCTCAGACATTTGCTCACTCCCTGACCGACCCTCGGCAGGCTGCGTGCTCTCCCTGTGTATCAGTTCCATGAGGAGCTGCAGCAGCCTCTGCCTCGTGGAGTTGTGGGAACTGGGCAGGGAGCTTTGGTAAAATGGATGGATGCATGGATGAAGGATTTCCCATCATTCCCTCTCAAACTTCAGTGTGATCGTCACTCTTCTCTTCCAGAGAGTTCTCTAGCCACCCAGGTTACGCGTTCCAAAAAGTACCCATGATTCAGTTTTCCTGTTGCTAACAGTGCCTGTATCATAGAGTTCCTGTAGGGGTCAGGTGAGACGGCGGCTGCAGGGGTCTGGACTGGCGCTAGGCTACGGCACCAGCTCGGCAGAGCCACACTCTCCTCACCCACTGAGGATGTGCTTACCAGGTCTGCTTGCAGCCAGACAGGTCCCGCGACAGAGGAGGCCTCTGAGGTCCAGAGAATACAAGTGACTTGCCCAAAGACACACAGATTCTGACACCCAAGCCTTTCTCCTAGCGCCTCACACACACACACACACACACACACACATACACACACACACACACACATACATACACACTGGTCTCTCCACACCTGTCTCACATCATCCCTCCCCACCCCCCCACCTCCAACAGGGACAGAAACTACTTAAACCCTGGGCTGGACATGGCAGATTCCTCCTTTCATCTTTAATCATCTCAAGACAGCTGTCCAGAGCAGGTGCTCTTCCCACTTGCCATACAAGACCCAGGTGCAGAAAGGAGAGATGAGTGGCCCAGGGAATGATGGTCCTTCTCAGCACCCCAAACCTCTGCCCACGTGGAGCTGCCCTTCCTGCTTCTTCTTACCTCCTCCCCAGCCACCCTACTTGCAGGGACAGAACAGCTGTCCCCCAGGGAGCAGCCTAGGCCCAGCCAGGTGACCCCATCCCTGCCACACACGTGACCTGACACTGAGGGACTGATCCTGCGGGAGTAGAGGCTCTGCGTGTAGACATCCCTGTCCCCATGCCCCTCCTTCTCTCCGCACTGCACCCGACTCCCAGGGCAGCCACAAGACTGCTGGTCCTTTGCTGCACCTCTACCCTGCCGCTTCCCACCTGTGCAAGGGCACCAGGTATACACTTTGCTACCTGGGTGCTCGGGCAGCGGGTCCACCCATCCACACACAAGTGGAAGATTCACACCAGGGCACATCAGACCTGCTGGCTGCCTGAAAGCGCAGCAGGGTCACAGGGGAGGGGAGACAGGCACAGACGGAGACACAGTACCCTGTGGTCCTCCACAGTCTGCACCAAGAAGGAGCACCTGTGCACGGGCCACCACTCCAAGCTGTGCCTTTCTCCTACATTCACCGAACTGTTCCCACCTCACAGACAGGTTAAATAAACAATTCAGTCAAGGTCGTGGAGCTCCTCAGTGCTTTTGAGCCCGGTAGACCTGATTCCCAGACTCGCTGAGTAGGAACTGAACTGGGCTCATGCCCAGCCCAGCGGCTGACACAGGGCAAGTGTAGAGTGAATGAGCTGGGGGTGAACGATTTGTGCTTGAGCCATGCGGAGGCCCTCTTGGGGAAGTGACACCGAGGCTAGGCTTGGAGAACAGCTGGGATCTCTGGGCAAAGAAGGGAGAAGGGCATTTCAGGCAGGAGGAACAGCACGCGCAGGGAGAGAGGTGTGGAGGCAGCTGGTGTGTTCTGGGATCCGTGGGAATCAGGGTGTACGTGTGGGTATGTGGCGCGCGGGATAAGGTGGGGCTGAGGAGTTGGCACTGGGTCCCTTTGGGTGGTTGATCGAACAGGGAAGGCAACAGTCACAGTGGCCCTGTCCTCCGGGATCAGCCGGGAGGAACAGGGGAGGGAAGTCAAATTCACCTAGCTCTCCACCTGTCTCTCTCTAAACCAAAGACGGCCAGGATCCTGGAAAGTTCTAGGTCTAAGCTTTCTCTCCTCCTGCCCCTGGGAGAGAGAAGCACGGCTCCTCTGGTCTCTTCAGCGAGTGAAGTGGTAGAATAACCCCGATGCAGCCGGCTCGCCAGGGACCGTGCGGTGCAGGGGGCCCAGGCCCGGGCGCAGGGGCGCTGCCAGAGGAGAAGGGCCCTATCCTCCCTTATGAAGACAGCTTAGTGAGACCCGGAAATGGGGGCTGGCAGAGAACACGAGACAGGGGTTGGGTCTGGCTGTGCCACCTCCAGGTGACCTTGGGAGGACCCTCCTGGTGCTTAGTCTGTGGGTCTGTAAAGCGGGCAGTGCTGACAGGTGAGCAAGAGGCTCCCTCGGGCCGGGCCACTTCGGTCTCCCGCAGCAGGTGCTTAAGGGCCCTAATGCTGGCCCCGCAGGAGGGAAGGAGGACCCTCAAACGGAGGAGCGGGCGCCCCGGCACCCCAGGCCGACCGCCCGCTCGCTCCCACCCACCCCTCCTCTGATGCGAAGAGCCCTCCCCGCTCGCCCCCCCCGAGGGGCTGGAAAACCCGGGAGCGGATCCACGGAACGGGTTCTGGGAGGAGCGCTCGTGGGGCGCAGAGGAAAACCCGGCCAGGATCTCAGGCAGGAGCGGGGCCGGGCAGCCCCCAGCCCAGGCCCCTGCCCCGCGCCGCGCGCCCTGCGGGAGCCCGTTTCACTCCCGGGTCGGAGCAGGGGACCAGGCAGGGCCTGGCCTCGAGGGCCGCCGGGGACTCCCGGCTGGGGGTGCGCGCGGCTCCGCCGCGGGGCGCGGGTCACGTGCGAGGAGGGGCGAAAGTGTCGCCGCGCGGGGCGGCGTTCGGGAGTTGGGAGTTCTCGGCGCGCCGCGGGCGGCGGGAGCTCGGGCTCCCGGGCGAGCCGGGGACGGGCGGAGGCGGGGGCCGGGGTCCCAGACAGAGGGGGCGCCCCGAGAGGGAGAGGGAACAGGGAAGGACTGAGCCATCCAGGGAGACGGGCGGGAACGCGCAGGGGACAGAGGCAGCGCAGAGGCCGGCCGGGGAGAGGCGACAGGGACCCCGCTCGGCGACAGCGACAGAGCCAAGGGAGGCAGGGGCGACCGGAGAGGGACGGAGCCGAGGCAGCGGGGACGAGCGGGCAGCGAGGGCGCAGTGGTGGGTGGGGAGCGGGGAGGCGACCCCAGGCCAGCTGGCCGCGAGGGTCGCGGGTCGGGCACCAGCGAGCGGGGCTCGGGGCGAGGTGACAGAGAGGGACAGCGCGGGG